CGAAGGATCGTTTCCTTAAGGCACAGCCACCCTTCTTGGGCTCCCATCATTTCAAAACTCCTACTCTGCAGTGCGTCCTTGACTAATCACCTGAGTTCATTTAAATCAGCTTTCCTAAAGTCTAGTACTTTCACCCTACTAGTTACCTTACCCACTCGACGTCTTATGGTGAATTCTATTATTAGGTGATCACTGTCCCCCAGATGGCTACCAATCTGTAGGTCCCCTACCATGTCATCCCCCGTTGCCAATACCAGATCCAGTATGGCATTCCCCCTAGTGGGACCATGTACCTCCTGTGTCAGGTGGAGGTCCTGTACTGTACTTTTCTTCTGTACTGTAGTAGTTCTTCATGTGGTATCCGGGTGGCTCTTTCAAACATGTGATCCATCTCTCTGGAGGAGTGCCCTTTGTGGGTGAAAGCCTTTTTAAGATTGGTGAGTGGCAATCCCGGCTGTTCTCTTCAGTGCAAATTCGGTGGTATCTGAGGGTTAAAATAAGTCACTTGGCAAATCAGTTGCATCAGCTGTGGTTTTTACATATAATTTATTTTTAAGATGCCTAACATACTTGGTCCTAAACCTGGTTAGCTGCTAAGTTTAGTTCAGGTAGTGCATATTAAAGTAATAAATGCTTAACATGTACTACATCACTGAATGGATATATTCTAGTCTCTTTCAAGTGGTTCTGCGCATATGTCAATAAACTCATTATCTTCAAATTGTGTGTTGGCACCTGTTCATGCAGCTCTAGTGCATGCATTTAAGGGTGTAGCATGAATGGAGCAGTTGTACTTTGCTTCACTGTGGTATATTATGGATGTCATGAGGTAGCATAGGTGCCTTTACAATACAAGTATTTCAAAATACTAATAATATTCTATGTTGCATAGTTAGGCTAAGGCTTCTTGAAAGAACAAGAGTTAAAGCATTACTGCAGAGATACGGAGGCAAACTTAGTTGAACTATGGCCATCTTCTTGTGTTTTACCCATCTAATTTTTTTCCCCATAATGTATTTGTAATTGTAAGTGAGGATTTTTGGATTTGTAATAAGTAATTTCACAAACATTATGGTGCATAGGTTTCTATTGCATTGAAATCAGGCATGCAGACCACAAAGAGATTAAATTAAGGCTTTGTAGTAGTTTACTTCTACAATAAAGTAGGTATAACATGAAACTGTAAATTAACGCACCTTAAAATTGTTATTTAACCAACCACAAATGTAAGAAAATCAACCTAAAGTTGGAACTTTATCTTTAAAATACTTTGCCTTAAGCCCCTGCTATGGCATTAATGAAGAATGCAAGTCTGACAAAAGAAGCATAGGGATGTCTATGAACTGCCCCATTTAGTGACACAATTTGCATACATTGTATGACTTTTTTTATATATTGCTCATCCGTGTCAATGAGATTCATGGAACATCTGCATTAAAATTTCAGAATAAAGGGCTAGTTGAGATTTTGCTTTTGAATTGCTAGAGGATCAGTTTGTTCAACAATAGTATTTATCAGTTTGTCAGTTCTTCATATTTCTTTTAAGTATTTATTATAACCCATCAAATTTTAAGCAATTGCTCCTGGGTTAGACTCAGATGAGTGTCATTGAAGGGTGTTTTAATTTAATGGATCCAGCATAACATCTGTTTCTAATGTTTTAAAAGCCAATTTATATGGAAATGTACTTTAGCAAAAAGTCAATAGATGCAGACACTTCTAACACGTATGGTATTCTAGTAGAAATTCAAAATGCAAAGTAGCACAGAGTAGTGCTGTTGTTTCTTTAATAGCATAAAGAATGACAAAATAAAGACCTCTATACACTGCTAGTGCTATAGTAATGTAATGATTGATTGATTTGATTACTTTTTTCCCCCTCTTTTTTTATCTTTTTAATAGCCGAGCTATCAAGACAAATCAGGATCTTCTGCCAGAAACACCCTGGACTCACATATTCTACAATGATTTTTGGGGAACTCTTCTTACTCACAGTGGAAGCCACAAGTCATATAGACCTCTCTGCACACTTTCCTTTCGGATTAATCATGCTTTTGGAGGCATGGACCCATGGGGCTACCATCTTGTAAATGTCCTGTTACATGCTGCAGTCACAGGCTTTTTTACAAACTTCTCCAGAATATTATTTGGCGATGGGTACTGGACTTTATTTGCAGGCCTGCTGTTTGCTTCTCATCCCATCCACACAGAAGCAGTAGCAGGGATTGTAGGGAGAGCTGATGTTGGAGCCTGCCTCTTTTTTCTGCTCTCATTGATGTGTTATGTTAAACACTGCTCTACAAGAAGCTATTCAACCAGCACTTGGGGATGGATCTTGGGAACAGGACTATGTGCTGGGTGCAGCATGTTGTGGAAGGAGCAAGGAGTGACTGTTTTAGCTGTTTCAGCAGTTTATGATGTATTTGTGTTTCACAGACTGAAAATGCACCACATCATTCCTGTTTTATACAAGGTAAGCGACTTTGTCCCTTTCCCTGAACCTCCTTAAGTAATTTTTATGAAGTACCAGTCACTGTGATGATTTTTGAGTATGCAAAATTGTTTAGCAAGTGCCAAGCCTCTGTAAAATAACTGCAGATACCCAATACAGAAAGTGTAACTAAGACAGTTCAATAATGATTTCGCTAATGGTAGTTCTTGGCTGGAGATGCATTTCATCCATTGGTTACTTCACTTCCATCTCTTATAACCACCCCATCTAGTTCATATTTAGTTGAGGGTTTTTTGTTTGTTTTTGTTTTGTTTTGCCAAAGCACTAATTCATGTCATTATTCCTTGTATTCAAAATTCAGCTTAGTATGTTTGGGTGTACGAGCGCATCAACCGATACAATCTGCATGCTCTTTCAGGGGATGACAGAGGACTTAATATTAGTGGAGGCTTGACAAAAATAAATGTACCTGAATGTTGGCCTCTGGCTTCTCTCTTTCCATTTCTGCCTTTTGTAGCCTTTAGTTCAAATTTGTTACTACCTTCTCAGAAGATTTCTTAGAATTAAACTAATGGCCCACAAACCTAACAGAAAGAAAGTTCTTATTCTCTAATATATGCATTTCAGTCTGTTAGATTCCATAAGTAAAAGTAGGATCCAGTTTGTGCTGGACACAGTACAACTGAATAAGAAAAGGCTTGGTTTACTTTCAGGGGACTTCTTCTGTCAGAAAAATTTTGATTTAACACAATTGGGAATGCATCAGTTTTGTCAGGTTTTGATGGGTAATTATCAAAAGGTTTCATTTTGATAAGGTCAAACCTTTGCACTTTGGTTTGTATATTTTTAAAGAATATTTATGTTTATATTAATATGAAAAAGAATTTGATTTACTTTTTAATTTTTTGCTTTAATTTTTTTGCTAAAAGTTGTTTTTAACTTTGTTCTTCTTCAGAATGAAAGTAAATTCCAAGTTTTGTTTTGCTCCAAGTAAGACTTGGAGAGCACATAGTTTAAATAGGCAGGGCGGACAAAGGTGGCTTCCAGCAGTTCCTTATTAAACTAGTCTGAAGTGTTTGCTTATGACACCGTGTCCTTTCCTTATGAAAGTAAATGTCCTTAAGAAAAAAGAATTAAACTAAAACATACTGATGTGGAGAAACCTGAACATGCAAGAACAGTTCTGAGAAGCAATAGCCAAATAATATGTCGTTATATGGTACACCTATTGGTAACCAGAAATAAAGAATAAACTAATTGTGAAAAAGGAAGTGTTCAGTCCAACTTGATAGCAAGTTGGATTGCAAGATATAGGATGGAATTTTTCAAAACTGCCTGAAGGAATTTTGTTCAAAACTTCTTTAGGCATGTTTGAAAGTCTCAACCTTATTCTGCAAAGCTGAGTGAGTGATAAAAAATATATTTTAAACCATCTTCTCATCATGCTGCGTAAATTTCTCCTAACATACTATGTTCTAAATACATTTCATCTCACTTTTATATACAGTCAATACCAGTAGAAAGTGACTTGGACTGTTTCCCATTGAACCTCATTTAAGATCAAGGTTCTATCATGGAAACTGTTTTGCTGAAAATAATGCTGATTTAATCTAAATCAGGGATTCCAAAACCGTAGAATACATAGCAGTGAGGATACACAAGACATCTCTAGGAGTTATGTGGGAGAAATTGTGTAATGATAGATTTCATTTTCATTATAATAATTGTCATTTAAGGCTGCATCCACACAAGGGTGGACGTTTGGTTCCCTGGGGACACCTGTGTGGCTGCTAATTGTCCCTAGGGATTGCCTATGTCACCTGCTCTCTGATGCACAGCAGGTTACTCTGGGCTGGCCCCAGCAGCCTTACCTGGGGTCCTGGGGGTCTCCTGGGGCTGCAGGAGTGGTGATTCTGCCACTTGGAGCCTGGCTGGCAGTCAGAGTGTGGCTCTGGTGAATCAGGCTCTGGTTTTGGGCGGTGTGCATTTCCCCCTGTGTGTGCCACTCTGCTTTATTTTTTGGTGCAGGCTTTTTTGACCCCTGGATATTCTCCAGGGGTCAGTTTCCCCCCCCCTCCCCGCCCCCTGGTGCACTGCTCCCCTGCAGCACAATGAACGTGCAATATGTGGTGCTGCAGATATCTGCACTCATCTGGACGTGGCCTTACGGGATTAAAATGTAAAACATGTGCTGGTAGGGTTATTGCATAGTCTGGAAGGGAATATGCAATAAGAAAAAGTTTGGGAATGTCTGGTTGAAACCAATCTTTGTGAAAGCATATCCGTTTCGATAAAACTGTCATTTGGGAAACTTTACTTGGATATGGCCAATAAGTAAGGAACAGAAATAGGAAATAGCCGATTGTTTGGTGGTCAGATCATTCCTCTGGGAAGTAGAAGACTCAAATGCCTGCTCTGATTTAGACCAAGAACTTGAATCTTGGTCTTCATTTCTGGGATGCTATTTTTGGAGGGAGAGGGTTCTTAGTTTCTTTTATTTGAATACTTTCAAATACTTATTCATTGGAAGAGAGAAGAGGGGGAGATGCTCATATTTCACAAAAGTTTTTGTTCCAAATCAGAATAAAAGCTAAAAATTCCCCACAGCATTTTTTTAAAGGGATGTTTTCAATGTGTTTCATTCTAGAAAAATCAGAACAGCCAGCTGCAACTTCAGAAAGCTTTTTGGCTTTACAGGGAGAATTGGGTTCAGTTTGGGAAACCTTCCTCCCTCTTCTCCTTCTTGACTTCCCCTCTGGTGGATGGTGCAGCCCAGAAGCCTTGAGAACACTTTCCAAGGCAGGGTGCTTGGGCTTTCAGCACTTTGGGAGCCCTTAGAAGCCTTAAGATTCTTGCCCAAAGGCAGCCCACATGGTTGGGTTGCACCAGAACCACAGACTCTAGAAGCCCAGGCTGCTAAGCAGTTTTCCAGGGGAGCTGTCTGGGTACCAATTTAAAGCCTGCTTGTTTTAGCAGAAGTTATTTTTGTAATTGGTAAGCATTTTCCTGACAAACCCCATTTGGTGAGAAAATTCCCACTCTGACCTGCAGTTGGACTCTTTCCTTCTGTGCATTTGCTATACCTTTTTATTTGTATGATTTTGGTAAGTTCAGTTAGGCTGATTTGACTATTTAAGGGGGGTGGGGGGTGGGGAGCACTCTCTAAGCAGTGGCCTAAGCAGTAATGCTGATCACAAGGTGCTTTGTGTGTGTTTCAGTTGAGAAAGCCTCTGGCTACTGCAAGTTTGTCCTGAATTAGACAGGAAGTGTCACTGCTTGAAGACCATGAAATGTTTAGCTATTGTGAAGAAACGGAAACAGCTCTCCATACCATTGGAAGGCTCCACAGAGCACAGTTTGAAATCCATTGATAGATTTTTTTTCCCAATCTATTTTGTTTAAGTATCTCTGGACTCTTGAGTTGTATTCGAGATATTGCAATAACCATATTAGATTCATGTTAAAATTAAACTCTAGTTTGACCCCAACCCTAAACTTTCCCACAACACTGTCTTGTATTCTTAGATCTTTTTTTTTAATCTCTAGGGAGGTCTGCCTGTATACTTGTCTGGCTCCAATCATTATATTTGTCTGCCTCACAAACTTTAATGAATTTAATTTGGCAGTGCCCCGAACAGGGAAGTGAAATGAGGAGTGAGGAACAGAGATTTTAAGTAATTTGCCTAGAGTCTGGTCAGTGGTAAGTGGCAAAGCTGAATGTTGAATCCAGGTCTCTCGAGTCCCCCTTGAATTCCTTTAAACCCGAGGGCATTTTTTTTCTAGGTCACATGACTGAAAATCTGGAGACCTGGATTCTATACTCCATTGGCAGATTTCCTATATTTGACCAAACCAGGACCAAACCAGATTTAGAAACTAGAGAAGAGGACCATAGGAGATCAGGCAATAGAGATCGCTCTAGCAGTGTCTGTAAATATTTTTAAAATAACCCTCTGGCCATTTTTTCAGATGCACATTTCTCCCCTCTAATTTATTTAGCCCACTTCATATATTTTTGTTCTGTCTCAGGGCTTTTGAGCATCAACACCAGGAAAGTTTTCTTTCAACCATTAAGTGGGCTCCTCAGCAGTTATTGTCACAAAGCTGCTTCGGGTGTGCACATCTACATGAGATGTTTACTGTGGAGCTGTCTAATTAGCTCTGCAGTAAAGTCTCAGCATCTATACATGTGGCCCTATTTGGCTGCAGGAAATTAATTAATTCTGCCATACCACTTGTAAACACAAGTATTATCCTATGGCAGTGTTCTTCACTGCGCAGCAGTGTATGTGCAGATGCTGACTGGCCTGGCTGGGGCATGAGGGCACTTCAGTGCAGGGGCTGCCTACTGGTCAGCCCTATACTTGAACACCCTCTTTCCCCAGCCAGCACCTCTGAAGCACATTGAGCCAGGTTGGAGCAGCCCTGGGCTGGTAGGTTGACCCCTGGGTTCCTGTCAGCTGGAGCAGCTGTCACCCAGCTCAATGTGCTGTGGTCCCTGGTATATGTGAAGATGCTGTGCCCAGGAGCAATAAGCTCCGGTAAGGTATGCACCAGAGTTTGTGTCATTAATATATAAACATGCCCTGTGAGGCTTAAATTAGGGATGCTTACTATTTACCTTCTAGGGATTTTATAAATTATTTACAATTGGTATAAGTATTTACAATGTAGCATTACAGAAGATAAATGGTGTGACGTGGACAGTGAGGGGATCTCTTCAGGCTTGAGCACCAGACAGTTTGTACTGTATTTACTTGAATATAAGATGAGGTCCCCCCTCTCCCCCAATCTGCATGGGGGAAAAAAAATAGTCTTATAGTTTCAGTTACATACAAGGAAATCTCATGAAACATGTTGTCTATCTTGAAACTTGCCAAAAGCAGCATATGCTCAGTAATGGAAACCAGCTATGAAGCTAATTTAAATGAAGCCTACACACAGCATGACTATAAAACACATGGCCCACATTGGACAAACTTATTGATGGGAACCTTTGTTTGTGTGTGGGTGGGGGTGCT